AATAAAGGCATCTAAATTGCAAAGGAAGAAGTAAAACTTCTTTATTCATAGATGGTATGATCCTGTATGTGGAGAATCCTAAAGAATTCACAGACACACAAAACTATTAGAGCTAATATACCAATTTGGTAAAGTTTCAAGGATCAAGATCAAATCACAAAAATCAACTGAGTTGGCTCAACAGCTGTAGCTCAAGAGGCTAAGGTGCCAGCCACATACATCAGAGCTGGCAGGTTCAAATCCAGCCTGGGCCTGCCAAACAACAGTGACAACTACAAATATTAATAATAATAATAGCCGAGCATTGTGGCAGGAACCTGTAGTCCCAGCTACTTGAGAGGCTGAGGCAAAAGAATCACTTAAGCCCAGGAGTTGGAGGTTGTTATGAGTTGTAATGCCACAGCATTCTACCCAGGGCGACAGTTTGAGACTCTGTCTCAAAAAAAAAACAATCAACTGAGTTTCTATACACCAGCAATGAACATTTGAAAAGGAAATTTTAAAAAGAATTCTGTTTACCATAGCATTTGTGAGAACTGAGGCTGTGGAGTCAGATGGCTGTGTTCAAATCTGATGCTGCTATTTCCCATGTGACCTTGGACCCTCTCTGTACTAAAAATAGAAGAATTAGTCAGGCCTGGTGGCACATGACTGTAGTCCCAGCTACTTGGGAGGCTGAGGCAGGAGGATCACATGAGCCCAGGAATTTGAGGCTGCTGTGAGCTATCATGATGCCACTGCACTCTAGTCTGGGAGACAGAGCAAGACCCTGTCTCAAAACAAACAAACAAATAAGCACACCCCAAAATTAATGCAGGGAAGAAGACTAATGGAAGTTGTTCATGTTTTTTGTGCTTCTTTGTGATATTTACATTTTCATAACAACAAAAATGCACCTCACAAAACCTAAACACAAGTTTCTATTGTGGCCCAAGAGTGTAGGTCACTGGGCCTATAAGACCCAAGAGTGGAATACTTTACTTCTCCCACTGAAGCTGAAAACAGCACTGGTTTCTTCTGGATGATATGATACAACATCAGTGCATCTGAGCCTAGGGCTATCTGAAATGTGTGCACCTCTTTTACACAGTCCGTGGTTTGCATTTGCATAATTGGGTTTGGGGGCTCAAGTCCAGAACTTTAATATATCCATTATATTTCTTCTAATTGGTAAATGTTAGCCAATAGATTAAGGCCTACTGCCCGCTCTCCACACAGTGGAATGTGTGGAAAGTACCACACCCAGACAGAGGAGTTTACTGACTGGAGAGACAGCTAGTTGGGAAGGTAGGAAGAGGAAGCGCTTTCCAGATGTGCTGGCTGACAATGGAGAAGACATGTAAGAGTCAAAGAGAAAGAGAAGTGAAGACGACATCTTAGGCACACTGTGGGAAGCAAGGAATTAAAACCCACTCAGGCCTGCTCAAGTAAAGCTGGGAGTTAGATCAACTGTGGGGCTCTTAAAAAGCCTACCATAGTATAGCCTCCTAAAGATCTCCATATCCTAATCCCTGGAAGCTGAGATTATGTAATTTTAAATGGCAAAAGGAACACTGCAGAAGTGATTAAGTTCAAGATGTTGAGATGGGAAGATTATTCTCAATTATGCAGGTGGCCCCAATGTAATCACAAGGATCCTTGTAAGACAGAGGCAGAGGTGGGAGGGCCAAAGTTAGAAAAATGAGATGTGGCTCGGTAGCATAGTGGGTTATCGCACCAGCCACATATACCCAGGCTGGCGGGTTCGAATCTGGCCCAAGCAGCTAAACAACAATGACAACTGCAATAACAACAACAACAACAATAACAAAAAATAGCCGGGTGCTGTGGCCAGTGCCTGTAGTCCCAGCTACTTCGGAGGCTGAGACAAGAGAATCGCTTGTGCCCAAGAGATTGAGGTTGCTGTGAGCTGTGACACCACAACACTCTATTGAGGGCAACATAGTGAGAGTCTGTCTCAAAAAAATAAAAACAAAAACAAAACAGAAAAACAAGATGTGACTGTAGAAGCAGAGGTTGGAGTGATGTGGCTGTGAGCCCGGGAATGCTTAGGCAGCCTCAGGAAGCTGGAGAAAGCAAGGAACAGATTCTCTCATGAAACTGGAACCAACCATGCTATCACTTTGACTTTAACTGTGTTAGACTGATTTTAAGCATCTGACTCCCAGCACTACAAAAGGATCAATGCATGTTGTTGGAAGCCACTAAGATTGTGGTGATTTGTTACAGCAGCAACTGGAAACTAGTACCAACAGTGTTTACCTTACCTTGTGGGGGCCGGCTCTCCCCCACTCCCAGGGCACCTCCTGCTGCCCTTGCCCCTTGCTGACCTCCCACCAAGGCTGAATAGACTGGGATGGACCTGATCAAACTTTTCTCTTGGGATTTTATTTATTTATTTATTTATTCATTTATTTTTGAGATGGGGTCTCACTCCATTGCCCAGGCTGAAGTGCAGTGGTGCAATCACAGCTCATTACAACCTCGACCACCCTGGGTCAATCTATTTTCCCACCTCAGCCTCCCAAGTAGTTGAGACTATAGGTGCATGTCACCATGTCCAGCTAATTACAAATTTTTTTTGGAGAGATGGGGTCTTGAACTCTGAGCCTCAATCTATCCTCCTGCCTCAGCCTCCCAAAGTGCTGGGATTACAGGCAAGAGAGACCACGCCTGGTCAAATTTAAAAATACATATATATATATATATATATATATATAGGTATCTGGATAACTCCTTAGACCTGTTGAATCATAGTCTCTAAGGATGGGATTGGAGAGGTGCAGTTGTGGGTTATTATACTGCACAGACAAGGCTGAAAATAGCTGGGACCAAGTCTTGGTCCACTCTGGGCTTCCCATGGGCAGCACATAGAGGGAAGCCATTGACTTAGACTTCCCACTATCACTCAGGGGCTGGGCAAACAGAAGGGACTAAATCATTATATGCTGACTGAGTAAAGAAAGCATTTTTTTTTTTTTTTTTGAGACAGAGCCTCAAGCTGTCCCCCTGGGTAGAGTGCCATGGCATTACAGCTCATAGCAACCTCCAACTCCTGGGCTCAAGCGAGTCTCCTGCCTCTGCCTCCCAAGTAGCTGGGACCACAGGCGCCCGCCACAACGCCCGGCTATTTTTTGGTTGCAGCCATTATTGCTGTTTGGCGGGTCCGGGCTGGGGATTCGAACCCGCCACCTTAGGTGTACGTGGCTGGCGCCTTAGCCGGTTGAGCTATAGGCGCCGAGCCTAAAGAAAGCATTTAAAACAAATTCTTTTAATTATTCAGGTAACAAGAGATAGGGAAAACAGATAAATGTGGGTAGAAGCTACTATTTTTAATTATCATTTCCATCTTCTCCCTCCCTTCCCTGCACCATAATAATTTAGATTCATATTCTAAAAGCAGCATTAACAGTTAATGACTGACCAAATGGCAGGAAGCCAGAAGCAGAGCCATGTCCTTTATGAACAAGTCTAGCACATGGTTAAGAGGGCTGGCTCTGGGCTATCCGTTCTGCCACTGTCTGTCTGTGTGGCTCGGGCAAGTTTCTTCACCTCTATGAGCCCATTCCCTCATCTACAAAAGGGTAATGATCACAGTAACCAGCTCATATTATTGTCATGAGGATTAAAGGAAAAGACGCAAGTAGAGCCCTTGCACATATTAAGTGCTCGGTAAAGAGTAGCTACTATTATCAGTATTATTTATAAAGCAGTTGGGTATTTCTGAAATGCAGATGGCTGACCTACCAGACACAGTTTTCATTGTTGTTGTTTGAGACAGAGTCTCATTTTGTCACCCTCAATAGAGTGCTGTGGCATCACAGCTCACAGCAACCTCAAACTCTTGGGCTTTAAGTGATTCTCTTGCCTCAGCCTCCCGAGTAGCTGGGACTATTGATCCCACCAAAATGCCCAGCTATTTTTAGAGATGAGGTCAGGCTGGTCTTGAACCCATGAGCTCAGACAATCCACCTGGCTCGGCCTCCCAGAGTGCTAGGATTACAGGTGTGAGCCACCTCGCCTGGCCCAGACACAGTTTTAGATTAGAAGGTGCTGACATGTGTTCCAGAGCCTCAGGATAAAACTGGTGGCCCCACCTGGAGCTGGACTTTATTTCTGAGAAGCCGCCCTATAAATTAGGTTTCATATTAGGCAATATTAAAAAATAGGATTGGAGGCAACAGTTTTCCTGAAGTGGGTGCTCACTATGTGCAAACGAGTCTGCATACACATTTCATTTAATCCTCTTGACAATCCCGTGGGGTTGGTATGACCATGCTTCCCATTTTGCAGAGCAGGAATATGAGTCACAGAGAGAAGTAAGTCATAGCAGAGTTAGGATGTGAATGGAAGAGGCCTTCCAAACCACTGCACTGTGCCTCTCTCACGAAGACCACTGATGCTTTTCTGTGTCTGCCACTTAGCTTTGCTTTGATGAGTGACAAGTTGTACCAGAGGAAAGAGCCTGTCATCAGTTCTGTGCATACCAAGGTGAAAGGGATAGCAGAGGTGAAAGAGGAGATCACGGAGAACGGAGTGAAGAAGTTGGTGCAGAGTGTCTTTGACACTGCAGATTACACCATCCCTTTGCAGGTAAGCACCTTAGCAGCACCCTCCCAGGACTCATCCCCAGGCACTGTCACCTAGAGCCTCACTCCAGAAAAACATTGGCCCTATTTTAAAAGCTCTGTAAAAATCCCAACTGAGAAAACCTAAAAACTGCAGAACTGGGTCAGATCCAGCAGCTCAAAGGAGATGATTCTTTGCTTTATCAAGTCCTACAGGGTTTCTCAAAATAGAAGCGTGTCCCGCCTGATGCATTTAAAACATGATTTGATTCACTCACACTCGATTTATACACAGCTTTTTAGAAGCACAGCCACCAAGTAGGTAAGTTCTGCCTAGATTCAGAAGGGCACAGAACTTTCTACCCAGAGGACACTAGCTGTTCTATATTGTTTATGTGGCAGGAGTCCATTCTTGGGTACATTTGTGCACAAAGAAAGGATGTAAATGACAAAGAGAGGAAAGGTGTCACAGAGAAAAGGCATGTGACTGTTTAAATTTGCAAGCAGGGAAAATGAAAGCAGAATTGCCAAAGAAGAGAAATTAAAGTGGTATTGAGGCTGCCAAAATACAGATGGGGGCAGGGGGCAGTAGGGACAAAAGGGCAGGCGTGTTTGCAGCCCTGAGGAGCTGGAAAGGTTGGCGAAACCCCATAAAGCCAAAGCTGCTGTTTGTTTTTAACAGTGGGTCATTAAAATCCTGCCATTGCCCAGGTGGTGGGCTGCCCTATTGCCCTTTAATTTAAGTCCTGTAAAATTCTCATGTGAACAGTGTTCTCATGATGTCTACTCTCCTACTCCCACTCCGCAGGTCTCTTGAATTTCAATTTAATGGGATTTGATTATGTAAAAAAAAAAAAAAAAAATGAAAAGGCTGCTTTTGCGGCTAGAATGGAAAATGACTCCTCTACCATTTGAATGTTCCTTTGCTCTCCCTCTGCTCAGCAGGGCAGCTCATCAGGCTTTGATATTAAGTACTGGGCATATTCCAAGTTGCCCACAGACTCTGGTTTCTAGAAGCTTAGAAGAGTGGAAAGGTTCGCCCCCAGGCACTTAGCAAGCTGGATTATCATAATTAGTTTTCTTCTCAAAGGTTTTACATTTCTCTTCACCTGTCTTTTTTCTCTGCAGGGGAACTCCTTCTTTGTGATGACAAACTTTCTCAAGACAGAAGGCCAAGAGCAGGGGTTGTGTCCGGAGGTAAGGAGGGGACCGGGAATGGTTGAATGGGTGATGAGAGTTCCTAGAAGAAGCACAACTAGGAGGAAATGGAAATTGGGACCCTCGGTGTATTTGAGCTGCAAATAATTACTGAGCCTCTGCTTCTTTGTGAGGTAAAGCTGGGCTGAATGCAAGACAGGAAAGATGACAGTGCAGGTCTCTCCATGGCCCTGCAGACTGCAGCCTTGCTCTTTCCATCATTGGGTCCCTTTGCAGCTACGACAACAATGATTACTGGCATTTGCACACTTCACATTTCATTCGAGCCTCACGACTTTAAGAGGATAATGGCATTCACAGCCCCATTTTACTGGTCAGAACACAGACTCAGAGGGGTTAAGTGACTTCTCTAGGGTCACCCAGCTTGCTGGAGGCAGAGCCCAGATTAGAAGCTTTGTGTCCTCATTCATATCTTCTTCTACCATGATCCGCAGTGAGCTGTGCAATCCTGGGAAACACTGCCAAGCAGCTCAAGTTTGCCTGTTCATCACATTTCTTAAGAGTTTTAGCCTCTGTATCAGGTGCATATGTCCCCATGACTCTCTTCCCAGCCCCCAGCAGTCTTTCCCAATGTGGCTTTGCCCTCTCCACACTCTTGACCTTCCCTTACCTCTTTCTGGGTAGAGGAAGCTCAAAACTTTCTTCTCTATCAAACTGTCTTTGTCCTGTTCTGTCCCTTCACAGTTCTGCTCTCCAGTCTCTAAGAGGCAAACTAGTCATTCTTCTGTTGGTCATGTAGTCATGACACAAGCCTGGCTTCAAAAAGAGGGGGAAATGTTCTACCTCTCAATGTGGGAGAGTGACCAAGAATTTGTGGACATATTTAATCTGTGCAACAATGACAAAAGAGATTAAAACAAACCTAATAGGTTATTTTTGTTGGGTTTTTTTAGAATTTCTTTTGGAGAGCAGAACAGAATTGGTATCTCTTCTTTCCTGAGAACTATTTCCAGCTGATAATGAAAATAATATAACTTTCCATGAGCCACAGTGAATGACCACTCATTCATTTATTCATTCATTGCATATTTAACAGGACCTATTATGTGTCAGGCACTTGGGTTACAAAGATACGACTCAAGTTTTGCAATCAAAGGGTTCACAGTTTAATTTGGAAGATCATAGGGGAAGAGGCCAGAGATGTGCTCAGGGATAAGAAGGCGGCAGCCTGGGAAGAAAAGAGATCATGAGAGAGTTTGAAAACTGTAAGAAAAGTTCACTGATGGCTCAGCACCTGAGCTCAGTGGCTAGGGCGCCAGCCACATACACTGGGGCTGGCGGATTTGAACCCAGCCTGGGTGACTAAAGACAACAATGACAACTATAACAAAAAAAATAGCCAAGTGTTGTGGCTGGCGCCTGTAGTGCCAGTTACTTGGGAGGCTGAGGCAAGAGAACTGCTTAAGCCCAAGAGTTTGAGGTTGCTGTGAGCTGTGATGCCACAGCACTCTACTGAGGGTAACAGCTTGAGATTGTCTCAAACAAAAAAAAAAAAGGAGGAAAACTTCATTGAGCAAATATTATGTGCTAACACCCTTTTAACCTTCACAACAACCATACAAGACTCAGAGAATGAGTCTTGACTTGGCTGAGGTCACTTGGCTAGAAAATGGTACAGTTATTACAAAACCCAGGTGTACATGGGTCCAAAACCTAGGTCCTCACCCTGAATTGCTATAAAAGCTACAAACTGCAGAGAGGACAAAGAGCAAAAGCTATTTCATACCAATGTCATATTCTGGCTTCCGTAAGACTAGCCATTAAGCCTGCTCCCTACAAAATAGAAGTCAAATCTGCATAAACCAAGCATCTCATTTCTCTCATCCTTACTCTGTCCTTCAGCCCTGAAACCTGACTGGCCTTGTTTTCTCAGGCCAGAAGAGTGTGCTGGCTGATGTCCCTCAGTTCCACATGTCCCACTGAGTCTCTGCACCTGTCTACATCACTTAGTCCTGCAGCCAAAGGGCCACTTGGACCAGACCACCTGTCCTCTACCCCAAGAGCCATCCGGAAAGTGGTCACTGGCTGTCCAGACATCTACTTTTCAATTTTCATTTTTATTGGGATATAATTCACATATCATAAAATTCACCATTTTAAAGTGTACAATTCAGTAGTTTTTAGTTTATTCACAGTTGTGCAACCATCACCACTATTCCAGAATATTTCTATCACCCCCAAAAGAGACTCTATCCCATTAGCAATAAATCTCCACTCCCTCTCCCCTCAGACCCTGGCAACCAACAATCTGCTTTTTGTCTCTATTGATGTGCCTACTCTGGACATTCTATATAAATTAAATAATACAGTACGTGGCCTTTTGTGACTGGCCTCTCTTCCACTTAACATTTTCAAGGTTCATCCATGCTGCAGCATGTATGAATGCTTCATCCTTTTTATAGCTGATTAAGATTCCATGTATGAATACACTACATTTTATTTGTTCATTCATCCATCGATGGACATGTGGGTTGTTTCTACTTTTTGGCTGTTATGAGTAGCACTACTGTGAACACTCATGTACAACATTTTCTGTGGCTATAGATTTCCACTTCTTGGCATCTTAGTAGCCACACACCACTTATTCCCCCCTAACTTGTCCTTCTCCCTGCAGTATCCCACCCGTAGGACGCTCTGTTCCTCTGACCGGGGTTGTAAAAAGGGATGGATGGACCCACAGAGCAAAGGTACTTTCTGTTTCTTTTCCTGAGCCCCTGGGTGTGGATGGTCTGGCATCTTAGCGATGTTCACAATGCACAGTTCAGGTCTTTAGCCTTTGGCTCTCGGCGGCCTTCTTACACCATCATCATTTGCAAGCCGGTATCTGCCCTGTGCCTTGGCTCTATCCCCAGGAGACTATCTGTCGGCTGTGAATGTGACTCTGATTTCCCAGTGAGAGAAATTCATGAAAACCTAGCAGGTTTAGGGTTCTAATAAGCAGGAAAATCATATGGGTCATTGCATCATCTGAGTATATTAACTTCCCCCTGAATCTTCTGAAAAGTTGAGGCGCATGAACTTGTACCTCCAGGGGGCATCTGGGACCAATACTCATATCAACCTGCAGAATTTCCTTCTTGCATGTTTTCACTTTAAAAGGTGACTGACAATTAAAAAAAAAATACCATAAAAAAGAAAAACTCACACAGGCATATGCACATTGCCTACTATTCTAAATAGTGTATTTGAGTTGGTATGAGATCATTTTAATATTACTCTTTATTGAATTAATTCTCCCTTGGAAATTTCTTTTTTTTTTTTTTTTTTTTGAGACAGAGCCTCAAGCTGTCCCCCTGGGTAGAGTGCCGTGGCATTACAGCTCACAGCAACCTCCAACTCCTGGGCTCAAGCGAGTCTCCTGCCTCCACCTCCCAAGTAGCTGGGACCACAGGCGCCCGCCACAACGCCCGGCTATTTTTTGGTTGCAGCCGTCATTGTTGTTTTGGCGGGTCCGGGCTGGGGATTTGAACCCGCCACCTTAGGTGTACGTGGCTGGCGCCTTAGCCGGTTGAGCTATAGGCGCCCAGCCGGAAATTTCTTAATCTTCCTGATGCTCCAGGAGAAGTACCATGTTTATTCCATGGCTTCATGCATCCCTGGACAGGCTGTGCAACCTCAAAGGAGCTTCCTTTGAGAAGCCATGTTCTAGTCCATTTATACCGTGTGGACACCCTGTTCAGCTACAATATCAGCCATTTTCTTTCTTTTGAGACAGAATCTCATTCTGTTGCCCAGGCTAGAGGGCTGTGGGTCATAGCTCACTACAACCTCAAACCTCTGGACTCAAGCAATCCTCTGGCCTCAGCCTTCTGAGTAGCTGGGACTACAGTCATCTGCCACCACACCGGGCTAATTTTTCTGTTTTTGGTAGAGACAGGGTCTCACTCTTGCTTAGACTTAGCTCAAACTCCTGAGCTCAAGTGATCCTCCTGTGCTGGTTTCCTGTGAGCCACTGCATCCGGCCAGACATCTTTTCTTTTCTTTATTTTTTAGTTGTTTATTTTATTTTATTTTATTTTTGAGACAGAGTCTCACTATGTGGCCCTGGGAAGAGTGCCATGGAGTCACAGCTCACAGCAACCTCAAACTCTTGGACTTAAGCAATTCTCTTGCCTCAGCCTCCCAAGTGGGTGGAACTACAGGTGCCCACCACAATGCCCAGTCATTTTTTGGTTGTAGTTGTCATTGGCGTTTGGCAGGCCCAGGCTGGATTCGAACCTGCCAGCTCCAGTGTATGTGGCTGGAGCCCTAGCCTCTGAGCTACAGGTGCTGAGTTTAGACATCTTTTCTTATAAGAAACCATGAGCCAGCCAATCTTTCTGTGCTTTCTCTGGGCCTTTTAAAAGGCCTTACTGTGAGTGGTGTCTGTGGCTTATTGAGTAGGGCGCCAGCCCCATATACTGAAGGTAGCAGGTTCAAACCCAGCCCTCGGCCAAATTGCAACAAAAAAATAGCCGGATATTGTGGCGGGTGCCTGTAGTCCTAGCTGCTGGGGAGACTGACGCAAGAGAATTGCCTAAGCCCAAGAGTTGGAGGTTGCTGTGAGCTGTGATGCCACAACACTCTAACAAGGGTGATAAAGTGAGACTCTATCTCTAAAAAAAAAAAAAATACCTTACTCTTCTCTGTTTTGCTCGTTTACTTTGCCCTGTGTGGGAAAGTAAACTAGCATTTTTACATCTGTGGTCAGGATGGGGTTTCATGGAAGCCGAGGGTGCTGACCCTCCTAGGGATCTTCCTCTCCATGGTTCTTTGACATCTGTGCTACTACAACCCCTCAACCCCTGTAGGAATCCAGACTGGACGGTGTGTAGTATATAAAGGGAACCAGAAGACCTGTGAAGTTGCGGCCTGGTGTCCCATTGAGGCAGCACAGGAGGCTCCTCGGTGAGTTGCATGGGGGATGGTGGGAGGAACAAACACAGTGACCATCAGCAGTGACCAGACAAGGCCTTGCTAGGACTTTCCCTTCTCAGTGCAGCCTTACAAAGCCCTTGGGGACCCTTATACTAGTAACACTACTTGGCAGAAATCAGTATGTTTGGCAGGGCCATGCTGGGTGTTAAAATACTGAAATAATTCTATATCAAGTGGTATAACTACTACTCTGAGCACCGTTGGGTGACCCTGCCCTCCTGGCTACCTCAGCAGGGCACTTCCAGATACCTCCTTTAGTGCCACAGGAGTGTCCATTCTGAATGGCCAGTGTCCTTACTGAACAATTAAGGATAGGAAGAAAGAAAGAAGATGGGGTGGCGCCTGTGGCTCAAAAGGTTAGGGTGCTGGCCCCATATGCTGGAGATGGTGGGTTCAAACCCAGCCCCAGTCAAAAAAAAAAAAAAAAAAATTTAAAAAAAAAAAAAAAAGAAAGAAAGAAGATGGAAAGGAAAGGAGAAAGAAGAGGAGAAAAGAAATTTTCTCAAATTAAATGCTCACAGTCATCAGGGTATGATGGCTCACACCTGTAATCCTAATACTCTGGGAGGCTGAGGTGGGAGGATGGCTTGAGCTCAAGAGTTTGAAACCAGGCTCGGCACCTTTATCTCAGCAGCTAGGGCGCCAGCTACATACACTGGAGCTGGAGGGTTCGAATCCGGCCTGGGCCTACCAAAGAACAATGACAACTACAATCAAAAAATAGCCAGGCATTGTGGAGGGCTCCTGCAGTCCCAGCTACCTGGGAGGCTGAGGCAAGAGAATTGCTTAAGCCTAAGAGTTTGAGGTTACTTAAGCTGTGACACCATGGTGCTCTACTGAGGGTGACATAATGAGACTGTCTCAAAAAAAAAAAAAAAATTAACTGGGCGTTGTGGTGGGTACCTATAGTCCCACCTACTCAGAAAGTTGAAGCAGGAGTATCACTTGAGTCCAGGAGTTTGAGGTTACTGTGAGCTAAGGTGAAGCCATGGCATTCTATTCTGGGAAACAGAGTGAGACTCTGTTTCAAAAAAAAAAAAAAAATGCTCACAGTAACGTACAGATTTAGTGGTTCTGTGTATTGATTCTTCCTTTCAACATACAAGGTCAAAATATTAAATTTCAGAAGCGCCAATGCATTTCAGCAGAGAATAGTTAGAAAGACCTGGATTCAAATCCTAGCTGTAATATACTTTTGCTATGTGACCTTGGGCCCCTCTGAGCTTCAAAATCCTCAGGTGTAAACTGAGAATAATAATTTCACCTACCTCACAGGGCTGTTATAAGGATTAAATGAGATGATACTCATACAATTATTGTAAAGTGAGTCCATGCTTGGCTTATACACACACAGGCATAGCACTGTGTGTGTTCACACATGCATACACATGATCTGCCCCTAGAAGTGTGGTGGTTCCAGATCAGCACTCCCAATAGAACTTTCGGCAGTGGTGGAAATGTTCTGTTCCTGCATTGTCCAAATGGTAGCCCTAAGTACATATGACTATTGAGCACTTGCAAAGTGGATACTCTAAATGAGCAACTGAATTTTTTTTTTTGAGACAGTCTCACTATGTCGCCCACAGTAGAGTGCTGTAGTATCACAGCTCACAGCAACTCAAACTCCTGAGCTTAAGCGATTCTCTTGTCTCAGTCTCCCTAGTAGCTAGGACTATAGGTGCCTGCCACAATGCCCGGCTATTTTTTGGTTGCAGTTGTCAGGGGCTTGAACCCACCAGCTTCAATGTATGTGACTGGTGCCCTACTCACTGAGTTATAGGTGCCGAGCCAAGCAACTGAATTTTTTTTTAAATATATTCTTTTTATGTTTCTTTTTCTTTCTTTCTTTTTTTTTTTTTTGAGACAGACCCTCAAGCTATCCCCCTGGGTAGAGTGCCGTGACATCACAGCTCACAGCAACCTCCAACTCCTGGGTTCAAGCGAGTCTCCTGCCTCAGCCTCCCAAGTAGCTGGGACCACAGGTGCCTGCCACTATGCCTGGCCATTTTTTGGTTGGAGCCGTCATTGTTGTTTGGCGGGCACAGGCTGGATTTGAACCCACCACCTTAGGTGTATGTGGCTGGTGCCTTAGCCACTTGAGCCACAGGCACTGAGCCTGAATTTTTAATGTAATTTAATTCAAATTTAAATAGCCATATATGCCCATTGGCTACCATATTGGACAGCATAGTTCTAGACCAATGAGACTCAGGACCACTCCCTCTGAATCTATGAAACAAAGAGAAATTTGCCCCAAGTTGGCCTGTGGAAAGCTCAGCCAAAGGCTTCCCTGCTGGGTGCACTAAGTAGCGTCATTCTCTCCTGCCCCCAATCATTAATGGCTCCACCCAGGTTCATTGCTAGGTCAGGGAACATTCTTTGTCACAGAAGGAATTTCCCAGATCTGAGTGGGACAGCAGCCTACACTCAACTAGTCCTTGGTTCAAGACAAGAGGTCCCTTGATTGGTGGTGGTTTTTCAGTTCCAGCTCCACCATCAACTTACTCATTAGATAAGCATGCCTGCCCCTGGGCTGCTTTTTCTGAGACAGAGCCTCAAGCTGTTACCCTGGGTAGAGTGCTCATGGCATCACAGCTCACAGCAACCTCCAACTCCTGGGCTCAAGCGATTCTCCTGCTTCCACCTCCCAAGTAGCTGGGACCACAGGCGCCATTACAGCCATCATTGTTGTTTGGCAGGCTGGGGCTGGATTCCAACCCACCAGCTCAGGTATATGTGGCCAGTGCCTTAGCCGCTTGAGCCACCTCCTGGGCTGCATTTTGATGTGACCTTGGGTAAGCAACTACCTGAACTTCAATTTCTCATATGTCACATGAATTAGCTAAGATGGCTCATTTAACCATTCAGTCAGTGCATCCATCACTACATAGTAGGTGTTAGATATTTATTTGACTACATACAAGAGACTGTGTTAAATTTCAAGTCACATATGAGAAGTCTCAGACATGGAGCAGGTCCCAATCACTGCATATGCCCAGATGTATAATTATATTAGAGTGTGAAAAGTGTCACTGGGTCTCAAGAAGAAAGACGTTCTTCTTGGAGAAGTTGGAAAGACTTTATGGAGAATTTTGGAAGGTTTTTTAAAAAAATTGTTATTATAAAAAAAAAAAGTTTCACTCTGTCACTCTGGGTAGAGGGCCATGGTGTCATCATAGCTCACAGCAACCTCAAACTCTTGGGCTCAAGCGATCCTCTTGCCTCAGCCTTCCAAGTAGCTGGGAATACAGGCACCTGCCATGATGCCCAGCTAGTTTTTCTATTTTAGGAGAGACAGAGTCTTGCTTTTGCTCAGGCTAGTCTTGAACTCCTGAACTCAAGCAATCTACCTGCCTTGGCCATCTAGAATGGTATAATTTCAGGAGTGGGCCATTGCACCCAGCCAATTTTGGAAGGCATTGCCCACTGGGTTTCTATATCCATTTCTCTTTACTCACCCTGGAACCAAAGCAAGAAACCAGAAGTCTCTGATCCTACTGGTGCAAGAACTCCCTCGGTCCCTGTAGTCACTGCATTCCACATTTCTCTCTCCCAGGCCTGCACTCTTGAATAGTGCTGAAAACTTCACTGTGCTCATCAAGAACAATATTGACTTCCCTGGCCACAACTACACCACGTAAGTGGCCAGGATGGCTGGCTATATTAGTTATCTACTACTGTATAACAAATTATCACAAAGCACAGAAGCCCAAAATGACAAACGCTTATTGTCTCCCCAGAATCCAGGAATGATTTTGCTGGGTGGCTTTCGCTTAGTGCCTCTCAGGTTGCATTCAGGCTATCAACTGGGGTGGCAGTAGTCTCAAGAATCCTTGAGACTGGGGTTGGAAAATCCTCTTCCAAGCTTACTCATGTGGTTGTTGGCAGGAGGGCACAGTTCCTCACCATACGGACCTCTCCCTAGGGCTGCTTGAGTGTCCTTTTTAGGACATGGCTGCTGGCTTCCTCCAAAGCAAGTGATCCAAATGAAACAGACCAAGCAAGTAAGAGAGTAACCAAGATGGAAGCCACAGTCTTTTGAAGCAACACTCCATCGCTTTGCCATTTGCTATTGCTCACAGAGAACAACTATGGTACAATGTGAGAGGACACTACCCAAGGATCCCCAGGAGGCAGAGATCATTTGGGGCCTTCATGGAGCCTAGCTACCACACCAGCTCACTCCTGTGAAACGGGTGGCTCTTTTTTCAAGAGAGATGTTTATTTGTTTCTTTGCTTTTAATTATTCACAGGAGAAACATCTTGCCAGGTTTAAATATCTCGTGTACCTTTCACAAGACTCAGAATCCACAGTGTCCCATTTTCCGACTAGGAGATATGTTCCAAGAAACAGGAGATAATTTTTCAGATGTCGCAATACAGGTTAGTGGTGTCTTTGTACAGTGGGTTGTGGATAAGTGTATATATCAGGAGATGGAGGATGTCAACTGGCCAAGACGCCGGGCCACTAGCTCTTCATAATATACTTCTTATTTACTGAGCATTTAGTAAATCCATGCTCAGTGCCAGGACCTTTATCTACATTATCTCATCAAACCCCATAACCACTCTGTGAGTGAGCTCATTGGTGTACTAGTTTCCTGTGGCTGGCTGTAACAAATTACCAGAAATGTGGTGGCTTAAAAGTACATATACTTTCTTATGTAGATCAAAAATCTGGATTTTATTTCACTGAGCAGAAATTAAAGTGTCAGCAGGGCCATGCTGCCTCTGGGGCTCTAGGAGAGAATCTACCTTCTTGCCTTTTCTCCCTCCTAGAGCTGCACTCCTTGTATTTCTTGGTTCATAGGCCCTTCCTCCATCTTTAAAGAGAGCAGTATAGCACCTTGCTTCAGTGGTCACAGTGACTCCTTATCTGTGTCAACCTCCCTCTTTATAAATGTAAAGACATTTACAAGAGGGGCATTTAAGGGCCACCTAGATAATCCAGGATAATCTTCCCCTCTCAAAATCTTAATTTAATCGCACTTGCAGAGGAGCTTTCCCTAGGGGAATATTGGGAGATAAAGCAGAGAAGACATTTCATGGGGTGCACTAATAGGTTTTGACTTAATCTTTGACGAGAGGACCAGAAGAGGTGGTTGAGTGTAGGGGTGTTTTGCAGCAAGTTATGTTTTAGGAAAATAAGCCTAACGGCTATATGTCCCAGATGGGAAAAGACCCACTGCAGCTGCTATGGTACTGTTTGTGTGAGTTGGATAGGGCTGCACTTGTGGCTCTGAAGCCTTTAATCAGCACTTTTTCCTTGAAAAAGAAAACCTTTCCTTCAGCAATGCACATCCAGCAGACATAGAGACTGTCTCTTGTTGACTTCCCCAGGGTGGAATCATGGGCATTGAGATCTACTGGGACTGCAACCTGGACAGATGGTTCCATCACTGCCGTCCCAAATATAGTTTCCGTCGCCTAGATGACAAGACCACCAATGAGTCCTTATACCCTGGCTACAATTTCAGGTAACTCCCAGTCAGACTCATCCACCAGCCAGCTGGCTGCCCTTGGCTCCCCAGGAAGCCTCAGGCCCAGCTCTATGGCAGCCCCAACAGTCAGTAAGATTACTGTTGGTTCCCAAGGCAACAGACAATGCACAAAGACTTTCTCTAAGAGCTAGGCAGTGACTGAATTTTTTGCATGAATTTCTCTCTCTTTTTTTCCCCTTGAGACAGGGATTCACCTTATTGCCTGGGTTAGAATATAGTGGCATCATTATAGCTCATGCAACATGAAACCCTGGGCTCTGGCTTGTAGGAGACTGAGCACCATGCTTAGAAGAATAGTCGCACATTCTTGAGGGAAACGTTGAGAGCAGGACAGTCCCCTGGCTGGCCTAGAGATGTTTTGCAGCCTGGAGACAAGCCCTTAAGCAATTCAGTGCTCTAACAAGAAAAGATCAGTTGCTCTTTAGTAAGCAGGTGTTGGACCTCATAGCGATCCTTGAGCTGGTATGTGGGGCTCCCCACATCTGTTGAATAGCGTTTCAATAAATAGCCACGGCAGAGGTTACTCAGAGCTCTCCTGCACCTCTGGGGAGCCTCACCTCCTGCAAGCTTATATGTTCAATCTGTGTCCTGGCTGTTTCCTGCATAGCGCTGGCAACATAGTGGCTCTGACACTGGCTATCCTCTTGCCTCAGCCTCCTGAGTAGCTGGGACTCTAAGAGTTGTCTTACTTTTAGTTTCTTTGTAATGTACCATGTGTGCTTGGCTTTGGGACTTCAACTCCATGAATTCACTAGAGTTCTGGTTCATTTACACTTTCTGCTGGCTTGGTGCTGACTCATTCTTATTTTGACTCTGCACAGCTCACTTCTCTTGACCTTTGCCTGTGGCATCCTAACTTAGTTTCCACCTTACCTCCTACATCTGGATCATTTTTCAGCCTGTTCCTACAACACTGTTCCAGGAGTGACTGGGCCGTAACACAGTCTCTATGACCCGTCATTGTCTGTGGGTGCCAGGCATGTTTCTGTGACTATGATTACAAATAGTCATTTTGTGCGCTGGTTCTAGACACAGAATAGGTATACACTGTTCCCTTTTCAGAAAGAGCTGCCAAGTACACCACTAGACTGATGGTTATACAATTGCTTATGAAGCTGGAAGGAAATAGATGTTGGCCATCCTCATGCATTTAGTCATCAAGTTTATACTGCAGAAAAAAACATTTCTTGTGCTAATGGGTATATATTGGCAACGAAAATAGATCAGATCACTACTTTTATGGTGCTTATATTCTGGTAAGGATAAATGGACAAAATATAATGCAAGTAAATAAAAAATTTCAACAACTTCATATCACTAGTCATCAGGGAAATATAATGAAACCACAATAAAATACAACTACCTACAAACTAGAAAGCTAAAATTAAAAAAAAACCTGGGAATCCCAAATGTTGGCAAGAAGAGCAACTGGAACTCTCCTCCTTTCCCAGCAGAAGTGTATAAAATGATACAACCACATTAAGGAATTATTGGGAAGTTTCTTATCAAGTTAAACATACATGTACCCAGCAATCCAGAAATCCCACACTGCCATTCTCAGGTATTTACCCAAGAGAAATGAAAATATATACCCACACAAAGATTCATACGTGATTTTAATGGCAGCCTTATTCATAATAGCCAAAAACAACCCAAATGTCCAACAAGAGGTGAATGGATAAATAAATGGTGGTATAAATAAAACTACTTGGTATGAATCAAATAGGAACTAACCACTGCTACATTCAACTACATAGATCAATCAATCTCACAGGCATTATGTTGAGTAAAAGAAGCCATATCTTAATGAGTACACAATGTTTGATGCCACTTATGTGAAGTTCAAGTGCTATCACTTATGATGATAGAAGACAGAACAGCAGTTGCTGAGCCAGAGAGTGGGGCAGGAGGAGGTAGGAATTGACTGGAAAGAAGTACAAGAGAGTTTTCTGAGATGATGGAATGTTCTAGATTTTGATAGAGGTATAGATTATATGACATATTCATTTATTTGCCTTAGGAGTTATGCACTTTGTCATATGCAAATTATTCCTCAATGGAATACATGAACAAATCCAACAAGATCATTTCAGACGATGGTAAGTTTCTACAAAGGAAATCAAATAAGATAGTGTGATGGGGGAGATGTGTCCAGGGAAGGCCTCTCCAGACATCAGTAGAGGAGCCCTGCTGGAGTCATTAGCTTTCCTGAGGACTGTGCTTTCCTAGTTAAGAAGAAGAGAACATGTATAGTCAGGAGCCCATGTTATAGGAATCAATTTAGAAAAAATTTTAACTTCTCTGAATCCTTTAGTATTTATGGGCTACACTAGTGGTTCTCAGCATCGACATCACCTGGGAACTTGTTAGAAGGGCACATTCTCAGGCCTACCCTAGACCTACTGAGTCATACACTCTGGGGAGGGCCTCGGCAACCTGTTTTCACAAGCCTCCAAAGGAATCTGATGCTTGCTCAAGTTTAAGAACCATTAATTAGACCTTCCACACTCAAAATGTGGTCCTGGAACCAGTAACATTGGCCTTACCTGGGAGTGTGTTATAATGCAGAACACTGGGCCCACCTTTGATTTACAGAAGCAAAATCTGCACCTTAACAGGACAGCAGTTTGAGAAGTGCTGGTCCAGACCATACTGTCTACCATCCCAAACATGCTTTCTTCTTAGATTACTAGATTTTGTCTCTTCAACTGGGCTGTTACCTTCCTGGGGGAATGAAAAAAATGTCTGCTTAATCTGTACATGCTGGTGCACCCGGGGTGAACACAGACACAGACACACACATTCTTCCACTGCTTCCTAACCCTCACGCTGACATTTTTACTGACTTCTGGAGGGGTCTGCTCAAACAAACGGGTCTATTTATATTTTACTCAAAGCAGCATCATAAACTGTTTTGGCCTGCACAATGTTTTAAAACTTGAGACATCTGACATAAAACTCTACACTTCCTGCTTTTCTTATAAAAGTAAACTAACCATCTGGTCTACATCCTCCACGGCAGCCATTCACTGGAGCTATCAGGGTTCCCCTTTAGAAAGGGCATGTGCTTTTAGGTTTGTCACTGTCCCTACCACTCCTTGTTGCCTTATACCTGGTCAACATCACTCAGTTCTGTTATCTCCTGGCCACTACAGGCATCTGAGTTTGAAATCCTTGACATAAAGCCTGGCTGATGATGCCTTTTGTCTCCTCTGGCTCAATGGTGTTTCATCCAGGCCCTGAAACCTCAATGAAGTAACTTTTTAATCATCCCCTGCTGCTCTGCTGAATAGGTTTATGGCCATTAGCAAGAAGAGAGGACAGGATCAGTGGTCCCCTGACTGCCCTTTCAGGCCATTTCTTTTAGCTGTCAGCAGAAGCATGCCCGGCAATGTACCAAACAGATGTTAGCAAATGTCCTTCAAGTCACTGAGCTAAGCCTAAGAACGTTAGCTCCTGGAGAGATCTGAGCTTTCTGAAGACCTAAGGTGGTTATGACGTTAATGTTCCTTTAGAACAAAGTGTTGGAGCGTTTGTTGTCCAGAATGAGCACCAGAAGAAATCTTTGGCCAAAAATAAATTGTTGAGATCTGATGGGTAAGTGGACAAGCAATTTCAAATAGCCACAAAAAAGAGAAGAAAATATCAGGTTATACGAAGTATATGAGAATATTTAACTTCCTAAAACACAGGAAGTTGAAGAAGTTGATCACATTACAGAATTCTGTCCTTTGCAAAATGTTCTTATTCAGCAGACAAGTGATTCTGTTTATTTACAGCATGTGTGAAGTAGGGCAGGCCCGAACAGAATGCATGATGCAGTTCTCAGGTCCAGAAGGAGTATGTGTCTGTATTAGTTTCCTGTGGCTACTATAACAAAGTACCACAAATGTGGTGGCTTAAAACAACACAAATGTATTCTCTCATGGTTCCAGAAGCCAGCAGTCCAAGATCATGGTGTTAGCAGGGCTGCACTCCCTGAGAAGTTCTATGGGAGGATTCTTTCTTTCCTCTTCCAGTTCTGGTGGCTCCAGGCATTCCTTAATTTGCGGCTGAATCACTCTAGTCTCTGCCTCCATCTTCACATGGCCTTCTCCTCTGTTTTTCTATATGGTAAATCTCCCTGTCCTTTATCTTCTTCTTCTTCTTTTTTTTTTTTTTTAGACAAAGTCTCACTCTGCCATGGCATCATAGCTTATAGTAACCTCAAACTCTTGGGCTCAAGTGATCCTTCTGCCTTAGCCTCCCAAGTAGTGAGGACTACAGATGCCCACCATGATGCCCACCTAGTTTTTCTATTTTTAGTAGAGATGGGGGTCTCACTCTTGCTCAGGCTGGTCTCAAACTCCTGAGCTCAAGGGATCCACATGCCTCAGCCTCCCAGAGTGCTAGGATTATAGGTGTGAGCCACCTCGCCCAGCCACTCTCCTTTGTCTTCTAAGGAAACCATTTATTGGATTTAGAGCATACTCTAAATCCAGAATGATATCATCTTGAGCTTCTTAATAACATCTACAAAACTCTATTTCCAAGTAAGTTCATATTCCCAGGTGCTAAGGGGCTAGGTACTTGAACATATCTCCTTTGGGGGGCATTATGCAAATCATTACAATGTGCAAAAAAAAATTCTTGTTCAGGGCCCAGTGTTCCTCAGAATGTCACTCACTGACCACCTGCATCAGAGTCACCTTTATTGGAAATATAGATTTCTAGAAACACCTTGGACTTTCTGAAACCACTCTTTGGAGGTGGGGCTCAGTAGTCTGCCTTTTGAATACACATTCCCCACCCCCAAGTGATTCTTGCCTTCAGTTTAAGAACCACTGTAACAAGACCTTGAAATCAGAAATTCAAGTACCTAACTGTACAATGTTACCTTCCCAGGCAAACCAACCTCCACTGGGAGAGAGTGACTACCCCCCCAGGGCATGCAGTGGTGATGCAGGCTTGCATGTGTGCTGAAATATAAATCACTCAGGGCAGCACAAGAAGAAAGAACTGTCTTGGAATGGGAATAATCATATGCAAAGAAAATGAAACCCTCTGGCCAGAAACAGGCATTGACGTGCCTAATAATATCCAAGATCTCAGTGTCAGATCTTGACGGTTTTTTTTTTTTAAGAGTTTCAGATGTTCCATACTATATTTTGGCAGAGCATCTGTCTTCTGTTTTCTCCTCTCCCCACACCTGTAAATAGATGGTGAATTAATATCTCAGAAAATATATATACCCTTATCTAAAAACAACACCAAAAGGTGGTGGTGGGGGGATAGCTTTAAAACTTTGATGAACCATGTGGTTTAAGCCTTCCTAATTTTTTCACTTCTTTCTTAAAAAAAATTTTTTTGAGCCTTTCTAATTATTCATGAAAAATAAAATGTACCACTTTTCCTGACTGTGGCACTGGTGAGAGTTGCATGTATGGGGTGATTGTGGTTTGTGCCTGGGTCTTCCATTATAAAGGTGACTGAGTGGTGACACAGAGAGGTCAATGCCATTGAAAGAATTTATTATGTACATTTTGCAAGAGATGGGGCTGTGCTATGCCACACCACCCTGGGCAGGGCCACGGGGGAAGGTTTAATCAAAAGCAGAATCAAGGAGACAGAAGGTCCCAGAAACTTCTGTTTTCCACAGTAAGGGCTGAGGGAACAGCTTAGGGTTGGCTAGGTTAAATAATACTTGTGTGCTATGGGTCATAGGGGTGGTCTCTAGTTGTCTGGCCTTCTCTGGCTTTAAGGAGAAATCCTGGCATGGTATGTGAGAGTTAAATAAAGGAAGTGGTTTGGGACATGAATTTGGGATTGTTTGGAAGGTCTGTAAGGTGATTTTCTTACACTCACAAAAGCTGAATTGCAGGGGAGATATAAACAATTTTGGCCTTTAGTTTTTGGCCCTGTGATTAAGGTTGACAAATAGAAAAATACAGAATGTAAGAAAATATAGTTAGAACAGACTTAAAAAAAAAAAAAAAAAAAAAAGACTGCCAAGGCACACCTATCCCCAATCTAGTAATGAGTATCTAAGATTCACCAACACTTCTGCTTCCCATATCTTTGTTCTAGAAGCCAAATCTATTTTCCCCCTTAAGGAATTATCAGATAGCTTGAATTTATTTTTTTAATTTATCTGCTTATTAATTCTGTCTTGCTTACAAATTGTTCATTTTAATCTTAAATGAAAAGCTGATTTCCCATCAATCTGTGATGATACAATTGTGGGGGGCCCATGGGGAGAATCTTCCTGGTTCCAAGTGGTCAAAGAGAGTAGTCTAGAGGGTTGGATTGTGTTCTTCCCTCTGCCACTGCAGCAGAACTAGAAGACAGAACAGGAGGACTAGACTAGATATTGATTTGGTTTTTCCTTTCATAAAATACCACCATTTTTGAAGAAAGCTTTATAAATATGGATCCTTTTCTTCCTACAGATATGCCAAGTACTATAAGGAAAACAATGTTGAAAAACGGACTCTGATAAAAGTCTTTGGGATCCGTTTTGACATCCTGGTTTTTGGCACTGTAAGTCTCTGCTCCCAGTCCCAGGCACCTCCTTCCTATGATTGTGTCCTACTTATGGTTGTAGTCCCTTCAATGAGTGAATGTTTTTGGTCATACTCATGTGTGACCGCATGTGAGATAAAAAAGGAAGAAGTTTCCATGGAGTACTGTCCATGATTAAGTTATCTGATGAGAACAAGAGTGGCACTGGAAAAAAATTCTAATATTCAACTTTAAAAATACTCTGCACGAGAGAGAGAGAAAGAGAGAGATCCCTCTGTAAAATCCAAAAGAATACAACTCAAACTGGCTTAGAAAAAGTAGTTCTTCTTTTTTTTTTTTAAATGTGGTTCACATAACTGATAAAAAATCCAGGGGTAAATTTTAAGCTTCACGAATGGCTAGGTCCAGTAGGAGTCTACTTTCCTCCTTTCTTACATATGTTCTCCTCTATCTTGGTATCATCCTTAGACTGGCCATCTCTATATGGTAGCATCAGGTAGCTCCTTATATCTGACCAGTTAACAACCTCACTTATTATATTATTATTTTAGAGACAAGATTTTGCTCTGTCTCAGGCTGGAGTACAGTGGCATGATCATAGCTCATTACAGCCTCAAACTCCTGCTTCAGCTCTGGAGTAGCTAAGACTACAGATACCTACCACCATACCTGGCTAATATTTTATTTTTGTAGAGACAGGGTTTTATTGTGTTGCTGAGGATGATCTCAAACTCCTGGGCTCAAGTGATTCTCCCACTTCAGCCTCCCGAAGTGCCGGGATTACAGGTGTGAGCCACCATGCCCTGCCAGCAACCTCAATTAAAAGAAAACACTTCTTTGCCAGAAGTTTGAGCAAAGGCCACAGGTAGATGCCATTGGTTCTGATTGGCCTGATATGGTTCACATGCCCACTGTTGAAGTAATCACTGTAACTGGAGTCATATCATACTCTCAACGGCTGGTCTTGAACCAGCCCTGACCCAGCCCATGGGCCAGAGGCCCTCACCACCAAACTATATGGAATGAATATAAAGAGAGATGGTTGTTCAAAATAAAACTGCAGTGCTGACTTCAGAAAAAGGGAAGAAGGGATGCCAGGTATGCAAAAAATCAACAGATGGCCACAACACCCTGCTTCACAGCATACTACTTATGTAACATAGTGATAAACAACACAAAAATTAGTGAGGAATAGCTGATGGAACGGAAAGACCATTGAGAATAAAATCCACACGGCTACCCAATGGAAGAGTCTGTGCAAACATTCCTTCCCTCTGTTTCTGAAGTAATCTCACATCTCTTCTAGGGAGAGCTTGTTTGAAATCCTCACCTCAAATTGAAAAATAACAAATCTTCAGTGGTTCTCTTCTTAATGTGCAGGTTCCAGTGCTTGTTTATTTAAAATATCTATGGGCCAAGTCCACCCTGGACAGCAGAAACCAGGCAAATGATAGTCACAGTTTCCATGTGTACAGTCTCTATCTCAGTGGGCACCTAAGTGCACTAATCAAAGTCACAGCCACTTCCTACTAGAACCAGCAAATGTGTGAAAGCAAAAGAGTGTATCTCTGAATTTCAGCCAAGTAAACTATCCCACTCTGTTTTCAGGGAGGAAAATTCGACTTTATCCAACTGATTGTGTATATCGGCTCAACCCTCTCCTACTTTGGTTTGGTGAGAGATTCTCTTTCTCATGCTTTATGAAAATGATCTGGCAGGCAGCGTCTGTGGTTCAGTGGGTAGGGCGCCGGCCCTATATACCAAGGGTGGCGGGTTCAAACCTGGCCCTG